CATAATTACTCGTTTGATCTTAGCGGTTCATGTTACGGTGCTCATGTTCTTGGGAGGATATTCAAAACTGGACATTTGAAAATCGCTGGTAGGTTGGGCCTCCTATCCTCCCCTAGGGGGACGCGTCCTACGCTGCTGATCCATCCTATGGCTGGAGGAGAGAGGGTTGCGCCATGGGACCATTCATGCTCTGCCTTTCTAGACTCCAGACAGCGCGACCCTAAGTGGCTCTCACACTAATGCCCCCCCTGACTACGTGAGCGCCCAGGTTGTTGTTGGTATATGTACTTGCTTGTTTTTCATCCACAGGACAACCACCAGAGCGTTTCAGGCAGATTCCATCCAACGAATTTCAGAGTTTTCGACGTGGGTGGTCAGCGATCGGAGAGGCGAAAATGGATTCACTGTTTCGACAACGTCAATGTCGTCATCTATGTAGCAGCTATTAGCGAGTACGATCAAGTGCTACGAGAAGACAACAAAACGGTGGGTTCCTAGACCTTTAAGTCCGCAATCCCGCTTAACTTTTCTCCCGTTGAAAACCGCGATTGCCCGTAAAGCAATAATATGTTGCACGAGTTGCGAGAACGAATGCATGTGTGGCGTCAGCAGAGAACTCTAATGATGTTTGTGGTGTCACCCATTGTGACGTGCAAATACCGTACCCGTGCTGCTCATAATTTGCTCATTTGCTGGTTGCAGAATCGACTCAAAGAAGCTCTCTTGCTATTCGACGGTGTTGTTAACAACCAATATTTCAAAGATGTATCTGTTATATTATTTCTTAATAAAAAAGATTTATTCGCTGAAAAAATATTATACGTATCGTTGAAAGTGTGTTTTGACAGCTATGACGGTAGGTGATGCTTTCCTAGATCGCACAGTAAAACTAAACTTTCATGATGAGCAAAAAAAAGCCTCAGAACTAACTTCCGCCCTGACTCTTCATTCAAAATTAGACGATAGGGGTGCGGGTAAAATTTAAAATTCTTAAAATGGTTTTTTTTCAGCCGAACGAGACGGAACGGGCTATACTGCTTCAGTCGCCTACATAAGGAAACGATTCGAGAATGCTCTCATCAAGCACTCCAAAAAACCGTGAGTCAGCTTCTAGAAAATTCGTGAATCAGGCTCCTGCTAGTAGACGGTCATAAGCGTATGCCCTAAGTAAGGACCCGCCGATTAAGTGGTTGTGTTTGGTGGAAGTATCGAGTCGAGGAGTCGATCGTGTTGATTGGAAAATGGAAGTGTATTTTTTGAAGTGGCTGCAATCTGGCATGGGGTACAAGGTTTTGAGGGCCTTATAGAGGTCTTTGGAAAAATTCAAGGAGGTTTTGAAAAATTTCACGAGTCTTTACAAACTCTGGAACAACTTGGGAAGTTCTTATAAACTTCTGCCCCTTCTGTAGTTTATTCCACCCTCCTTCTCAGCCCTTCCCCACTCCTTTGTTAGCTACTTTTTTGAGTTTAAGTCTGGAAGTCAAATAGTTTCAGAGGTAGGTATTTCACACATGGTATTGAAGAAGCATAAGAGTAGAAGGGAGACGGGGATCGGAGAATGGTACTAGCTAGCCAGCCAGCCGTAAGAGGGGGGGGGGGAACGTACAAACCAACTCCTCGAACGAGGCTCACCTAGGTGCCCACACCCACACTTGACTTCGTTCCACCATGACATCCTCATCTGTTCTCGCTCCGCCATCTTTGAGTTACGAGAGGGGGCGCACCCTTCTTTGTTTGCGGGAAGTCTTCTGGTTTTCAGTTTACCTTTGAAATATTGAACAAGGATAGGGTAAGATATTAGTTTTCCTTGTGAAATCTTTGTGTTCCCTGCAAGATGAGCAAGCCTGCACTACCTATCTAAACCAAGCTACTAGAATGCTCATGGTTAGTCGCTTATTAAAAGGCACATTCATCTGAAAGCCAGGTCTGTGTTAGACCGATGTCAGACTTCGCGAATCGGGCAATTCGCTAGCGTGCGCGGTCGCGTCGCGTACAGCGAATGGATTGATTTGCTATACGCGAGGCGCCCGCGAACGCTAGCGAATCGCTCGATCCGCAAAGTTTTTTGACATCGGCCATAGCGGCATTTCGGTGCAAAAGTTTGTACGTATTACGGTCATACCGATTTTGTGTCTGCTCTTTATAGGAATTCCGGAGGAACAATGATCGCTGCCTTTCAAAGAAATGGCAAAGAAATGAAGTTCATGACATTTCTTGGAACAATCTGTTGTCTGAGAATGTATTTAGCTTCATCCCTTTGCCATTTCTTTCAAATTCTCGAAATGTTGAACGATGTTTGGTGCATAGAAGCATTTCTCAGATAGGAGCATGAGGATCTCCGCAAAGCCTAGGGAGGGAATGAGCGCGAAGAATGGACGGGACCGATTTCTCCGGGCAAGGAGGGCTTTTCGCATTCCGTAAGAGCATGTAGTTCACCTATCTTGGAGCTTTTTCCACTCCGCTAGGCTTGGGCAAAATCCTCATCCTCCTGCCTTGCGCTCAATGCTCTTCACCAAAACCTAAAAACAAAGACCTCAGGCCGGTGGAGTGGGCACCAAACGCTTTTACACCAAACCGATGCGATATTAAGCCTCCCACGCAGGGTCAACCGTCCGTTGGACAAAGTCCAACGAGGGGGTGGGGGTCGTATTTGGGGGGTGGAAAAGAGGGGGTCGTATTTCGCGAGGTAGCGTCAATGTTACAGTAAGGGAAGGGATGATTTTTTTATGGAACGGAAATGGAGAGCGGATTATGTTGTAGTTCACGTTCGATATATACCCCCCCCCCGCTCGACGGCAATTTTGGAGGGAAAGTGGGCGGAGTTGGGCTGTGTCGACTGGTCTCAGAATCAAATACTATAGAATCGCCCCCATGATGATGGCGATGGCAGGCGAGGGTGGTGGAGGATGGGTTAACCCTGAGGGGGGGGGGGTCGTATCGAGGCCCTCTAGAAAAGGGGGAGGGGTCGTAAAATTTTCGAAATTGGTCCAACGTGTTGACCCTGCTCCCACGTGAACGCAGAACGTACCACGTGATGCATATGGTGCACCACGTTCACGTGGCTCAATGTGGCCGCGTGATGCACACGGTGCACCACTATTTCGTTATCGCTTTGGGTGGGACTTTCTCGTGGTCTAAATCGTTGTTTTCGGGTTCATTCAACAGCGTATAAATGTAGGATGACGCCAAACAGGACTAAGGAAGATCCAAGATCTATGCCACCTTTTGTGAATGATTAGCTGCATTCACTTTAAAGGATAAAGGATAAAGCTTTGCTTCGTCAATCCTCTGGGAGGCGATGACACGCATTCTATTTGTACATTCGTAAGTGGCGTCACTTTGAAGCGATGGCCTATACAATCTTGCGGGCCAGCGATATTCAGTGTTTTATCCTCCCAGACAAGTCTGGTACCATTAAACCGACCCCGGAGGGATGGAAAGGCTTGGTTGGCCCGGGCGACTCACGACCCAGGATTTGATCCCGGACCGCTCGCGTGGTGAGCGCGCCACTTGTCACTACACCACTTCCGCCTCGTATTCACTTTCTTTCTTTCTTGTCGCAGAGAGGAGAGTCTGAGAAAGGGATGTGTAGGTAATCGCAGAAGTCGGTGTTGGTCCGGCGGATATCGCCCCTTTAAACTCATTTATTGCAGGTATGTCCACGAGACTTGCGCAACAGACACGAATCAGGTGCAGGTCGTGATCAACTCGGTGATTGACACAATTGTCCAGGAGAATTTGAAAGACACTGGAATGGATCTGCAAACAGGTCGTCAATCGGGGAGTATAGCACGTGTTTGTCGCTTACTGAATGTCTATTTTCAAGTTGCTCAAGTTTTCCGGGACACATCTATTGGTGCTCTGAGGACTAGCGAGTCTTTGCTATGTTTTGTTCGCCTCTGAAGGGGTCCTAGCATTTTTAGGTGAAGATCAGACGCTACGCGGGTCCCTGAAACATCTTTAATGCGTGGAGATGGGGAAGACTATCACAACAGAATTTTGAACCAGCACGTAATAAGCCAGCGATCATAACAAAATGGAACGAAACGGTGCTTCCGCCACTTACTTAGAGCATTAGCGCCATCTGCTGCGAGTATAAATATGGTAGCTGAACTTTATACGTTCGAAACAAAAACCTGCGCTCATGGCCCTAGGGGAGACATTCAAATTAGGGCATTTAAAAACCACTGATTGGTGACACCACGACTAAGCCGTGGAGGGCGGAGAAACGCCAGTGACAGCGATGGTTGCTTATGCTAATCTCCCGAATATCCTCCATGCCCTGCAAGAACTTAGTCTCGAGCAGGCGTCAACTGTGCGTTCAGTATATCTAAAACGGGGCGGTCGCGTTTGTGGATTAATTTAGGAAGGGTTCGGTCGCAGCGACGGTGAGTTGGATTAATAACTTGTTTAGGTAAGAATGGCGTAGGCATTTTGGTAGGAGTTGAGCCTGCGCGAGGATGTTGATATGGGGGGGGGGGCGGGGGAGGAATATAAAAAATTAGCTGTTTCACTGCACTAATAGCCACTAATTAGACCCACCCTCCGCTAGCGGCCTCTTTTGAAGGGAGAAGGTGGCGATTTGGGACTTGTGTACGGGCTGTTTAAGCTGTGTCAAACTGTATCTCATATCAAGTACTATAGATAACTGCCATCTTTGGCGAGAGGTGAGTTAGGAGAAGCTCATGGTGGTGCGGTGGGGGATGCATTGAAACCCCTCTGCCCTCTTAAAAAGGGGGTACCAAGGTCGCGGAATTTCTCAAAAGTGGCGGAACGTCACAGCTGGCCCTCGCGGCCCAACAGTTCTATAAGTGATCTTACTTTTGCAATGTCTCAATCCCCTTATGGGCGCCCGAGAACCTTTTTTCGACATTAGCCTTCGAGCATATTGATAAAATATTTCGCGGGGTCTTTCATCACCCAGCCTGTCAAACCTTTGCCTGAGCCGGCGCCAAACCCAATTTTGCTGCCAATTCGAAGGGCCATGGTTGGAGCACCGGCAGGGATCCATATCCGGCTTATGTGGTGCAACAATAATCGTACCCTCTTTACACTCCGGCTTATCGACTGTAAGTATGAAACGGAAATCGTTGGTAGATATGTAGCTATTAGAAGAAGGACAAGGAGTGGGCCTGAAAAACAGGTAGCAAAAGCTCAAAGCAATTTACTGAAGGTCCTTGACTTGAAGCGAGTTCCTTTCTTTTTCCTTGTATTTATGTCATAGTTTGTACATAGCTTGTTCAACACTGTTTGATTTTATGTTAATAAAGTGATTGGTATGTTCCAGTTGTCGTCATGTTGGTTGAAAATCGGAGAACAGAAAGAACTTATTTGGGACTTAAAGGCAGTGAACACGATGGCTGGAAGGTGGTTCGGTTTTATGACGTCGTTGAAAGTATGACGGAAAAGCGTGAGTGACGATTCACCATGTCAAGGCGCTGAGGTCTGATCTCGTCCATGGCGATCCGATAACGTCATCCAATATCGCAGCGCCCTCTGCCATCGTATTTCTGCCTTGAGCGCCGCCAGACAGGCTTTTAACGGTTCACTTCGCCTGCTCCACTAGCCAGCTAAATTATGTGTCAATGGTCGTAACGTCTGCTCATAAATTCCAACACCTAGCTCGCGAACGTCCCGCTTCCTTCCCTATTGCGCGCTATTGTAAGATGGCTCCCGTAGTGTCTATTTTTCCTTGCTTAGTGCGCACGTGCATGTCAGACCTATCGGCATAGCTTTCATGAAGGAGTCTGATATTGAGCGCCACATACTGGGAATAAGGATGCTACACTCACTGGCTAAGGGCTATCTTGAAACATGCGCAGCAAATTCGTTCCCCTCAAATTTCAGGGAAAAAGGTCAGATCATGAAGGGGAAGTGGAGGGACGAAGGGTACCTGACAGGAGGCCCATCGCGCGGCAAGAAGGCAGAGTCGGCGGACGAGTCGCAGCGCGTGATGTGCGATGTAGGACGTACAATGGGACATTCTATTTAACTTGACGCGAAATCCCTACAGTACGCGCTGCGACTCGTCCGCTGACTCTGCCTTCTTGCCGCGCGACGGGCCTCCTGTCATGTACCCGAGGACGAGAGCCGAAATTCTCCCAAACGGCACTCATTTCGAATGACACTCAAACATCTATCAGCTTTATGTTGCTCACCATAATGACAATTACATAATGACAATTAGTTAAATGTTTAAAACATTAGTTGATAAGCGCTTATGTAATAGTTTGCTGTTGAAAGGTGCTGCTATGGTTTCTACCACTTCTTGACGACCTTAAGAGTCCAACTCCAAGTCAGCAAATTCTGCTCGTTCTCATCGATAAGCTGCGATTTAATTGTATATTTGCCTCGGTGAAATACACCTGGAACAAAAATCTGAAGGAGACAGTACCGGCGAAGAGCTAGGAGCAGAAGAGTCTATAGAAGAGTGTCTCCCGTTCGATCTATCCCTATTTACAAGTATTTCGCCTCACATTTGACCCAAAGGATGGTTTGCTGAGGCCAGCAGACGTTTGTTTTTGGTCCTTTCTCGGGATACACACAATTATACTGGCACTCGGTTTCTTCGGGAGAGCTGATGGAATCCCTTATCGTAGGCATGAAAGGTAAAGCGAGTGGGAATAGGAAATTTCGAAGCTAGGAGTTAAAGCCACTCATATACGGTAGCTAAGGAGCGAAGAAAAACTATGATTACATTCCTTTATTCTGCCTAGCCGGCAGATTAGCCTTTACTACAAGATATTATCTGTCATCAGAGGAATAAAGCTTAATCTAGAAATTTGTGAAGCAACACAAGATATGAAGCACAAGCGAAGATGGGAGGCGACTGAAGCCTACATTAGGCAAATGATGGTGCTTGCGCATTGGGCTGCCAGGAAGGCCATGCTAGATCGCCCGAGCATATCCTCGATGGAAGAGGAGCGTCGCGCCGACTCCTTTATGGGGCTGCCTGTCGGTCTCCACGAGGTAACTTTCACTTCTTTAACCTTGGGTCCATATTGTGGATCTTCTTCTTAAGAGAGAGCCTTCATGCTTACCTTGGTAATTGTACTTAGGACGAACCCCCTATACGCCTATCTATACTCAGATAATGCTCCAGCAGAAACCACCGAGTTACGGGCCGCAGCAGTGTCGGCAGCATATGCTGCCGACACACGCCCACTCGTCCGTGATTGGCTACCACCACAAAGGTTACTGCGTGCAGACACGAGCCAGCCAGTCAGAGACTAGTGGGCGTGTCGGCAGCATATGCTGCCGTAAATCGGCGCGTTGTCTCCCTGGAGCATTTATTGATTACTGGCCTTATGGAAAACACAAGATTGTGATGCACAACAAACCTTCGGGAGCAGGTTCTGGTTCCAAAGTGAAACTTTGCTTTTCTCTTTGTTGTGTGTATGTTCCAAGCCTGTAGACCGTCTTTGATAGGTTGACATGCATACGGTTCACCTTGTGGATATACCTTAAGAGGCCTTATCCATTGTACATTACATTTACTTTACTTTAGAAAATACCAAATATTACTTCAGCCCTCTTATGCTGTCTCTGTGCACAAAAAAATCAATACGGATCCTATAATGTGTTCCTTCTTTGACACAAAATTTCGTTCTTTGTAACGTACCTGAAAGAGGGCTCATCAAAACAGAGGCAAATTTAGGGGCACTAGCAACTCGACTCCTAACTTAACTTTGTTCGCAAGAGGAAAGTTAATCGAAGGCACAGCTCACAATCGAATTGTATGGCAGAGGAAAAGAATCCACTTGGGAGCAATGACAGTAAACAATAAAGACAATAAAGGCGGGTTCTAGTCCCGCCTGGGGCAAAGTTTTGTTCACAACCCTGCATTCTTGTGAAAAATGACAATAAAGACCTCCCTTTTCTATGCATAAAAGGCTATAAGAGGCAAGACAGTAAAACGGAGAGATATTGAGGAGTCAAGATAGTAGAAAAGAATCGCAGAGAAGAGAGAGCGAAGCGAGGAGAGTACACACGTCCATGATGGCAACTTAGGGGGAGGTAGGGTAGGCGTGAGCCGCGTGAAGCCGCACGAGCATCCTCATACTGGCTAGCACTTGACGGTCCAAGTCCTGTATACATCCTAGCCTTCGTTCTACACTACTTGTGCAAGGCCAAACCAAACTTTTAGATGGCAATATCACGGGCCGTCTGGATTAAAAAACTGCTAGCGGAAGAACCCGACCCATTAGATTCATTCCATTACGCACCGGTCCCGCCTTCCACTCCAGCGCCGAGACTGACAGAATCCACTATGAGATTGCGCTTGTCTAGTCCGCACTTCGCATCACGTAACTGTTGAAGTGATGGTGTCAGTATTGCCCTGTTAGGAGCATCTCCTGATCGAATTTCGTCCAGCATCAAATTTTTTACCTGAATTACCGGCTTACAGATTCATCCACTTACACCTATATGGCCAAAGCCAGGTGGTATAGCCGTATGACATAGGTAAACGCGGTTATCGATCTCATTGAAGCCAACATACTAATAGGAATTGAATGAGTCCCAATACCACTGATGATTTGCTTCACTGTCGTGAAATCTTCAAAGTTCGCCCAAAGAAACGGTTCATCCCCAGGCCGTATGCAGCAGTACACGGTCGAGGATGGGTCCCCGAAACTCTACTTTTCTAGATGCATCCCCTACTCTTGACTATGTGAGATGCGTCATCAACTGAAGGAGCCGCAGAGTTTGGCGACCCAATCCCCGCCGGGTACTGCCGCAGGCGGCCTCTGGTATCACTGTTACTTAACAACCACCCCCCCCCTCCCCACCTAGTA